TTGATTTTTTTTTAAATTTTTTTTTCTTTGAAATAAAATGATTTGAGTTAATTATGAGAGAATATTATTTATAAAAAAACTAATTTTTTTTTAAAAAACCAATTATCTCAATTCATATAAGTTGATGTTACATACATGGAAGAAGAGATGAATCAATAGGCGTTGATTCTAATAGAAGAGGCTTTAAACATTTGAGCCAAGTCTCATCAAATTTGTGTAAATGCAAAAAATATGTTTGGAAGAACCATAATTAATTAGATTGAATAATGCTCGAGTCTAACCTAACCAGATAGCCATATTAAAAAACAAAGGACAGAAAGAGATGAATGGAGTAATATTTAATTAAGATGAAAGGAGGGGCACAAGGAAGCAACAAAGAGGAGTGGACAATGATATTGGCATAAACACAATGAACAGTTCACAGCTCATGCAATCAGCTTTTAATGTTGTCCAACCACCACTCTCTCTTCACCCACTTCTATTATTCTTTATAATTTCTTTTTATTCCTTTCTTTTATTTCTTTATTCCAAAATTATATCAAAATCCCAGTGGTCCACGGCTGACTACCTCACTTTCCTTTCAACTTGCCAACTCTGGCATGGCCTTCCATTAATTATACTTACAACAATAATAAAATGATAGCCTGCTTAAAGGGTGGTATGGAAAGTTAATTAAGACTTCAATCTCATGGATTAAACAAGTTTTAATGAAAAGAGCAACATTATTGTTTTTTTTTTTCAATCATCAGGTTTATATTGAGCAAAAACAAAGCTTCTAAATACTCATAACTCATTCGTGAATACTTTCAGAATGAAAATAACCCTTGACCCTGTTAATATACATAGGGGGAAACTATTTTCAATTAATTAAACTTGACATTATTTGAATTTCAACCTCATAATATTAAATATCATGTATTTGTATTGAGAGAAGAAACACAAAACATTCAGTACCTTAAAGGAATCTAACCTATTGATAATGCAATAATAATTTTTTGTATGGTTTATGTTTTTTAGAAAACTTTTTTTACAACCTATGCACAAATATCAACCGATCCATCTATTTTTTTTCCCCAAAAAGAGGTAAACGTAATTAATTAAATGATGGTGGATTATTAAGCTGTAAACACCCATAAACAACATAGAGATTATTTGTTTTACCTTTGCTTGTGGTCCTCTTTGCCCTTCCCAAGAAGAACAATTATGGTGTAGGTGAACAAATTGCATTATACTTGTATGTTTTGGCAAGAGGAAGGAAAAAGACTAGACGCATGTGGTCATGTTGATATAAATATATATATATATATATATATAAATGAGAATAGAGAACATATAAAAAATGCAAAAATGCCACTTCTAGTGGTTGCTTTCCTATATATGCAACTAACACCAAAAACAAACAAAAAAAAGTGGTGGCTTTTTTTTTGTTCTCCTTTGGCTGAAAGGGAAGTGGGGATTTTCTTATTGATCATCATGTACAAACTTTTATATCTTTGTTGCCATTCTGTATGGTTGTTGGTGGTGAGACCAAAGCTTTGAATTTCAATATTATAATCTGAAAAGATTGTAAAAGTGTACTTTTAAAATAGGTAAGAGACAGGAAAAATAATGTTCATTTGTGTAAGATGACAACACACACATATATATAAGAGAATTATTGTGAGGTCTAAAAAAAATCTAATTACTAAAAAAAATCTTAGTGATAAATGAGCAACTAAAATATGTTATTAATTCTTATTCTGAAATTTTTCATTATAAATGACTTAGTTGTTATAAGACTATTTCGTAAATATGTTAGTTTTTGAGATCTTATTGCAATTCTTCCATATATTCCATATATATATATATATATATATATATATAAGCTCAATTCATACTCATACACCATATCCCCACTTCTTGTGCCACTTAATTGCTTATTTTGAAAATATTTTAATAATTCTAAGACCCAAGGCTGCTGTAATGATGGCTGGTTGGCTTGTCTACAAGCTTGCAAAAGCAACGACAGATTTAGTGCCACCAATGGGCAATACCAATACCAGGGAAAGAGAGAGAACTGGGGAGCCAATTGTTTTAGGCCTGACACATCTTTTTTTATTTCTTAATTTTTATCTGGGCAAACCAGAGGTGAACGTGGTCATCTAACGGCCAAGAATTGTTAAGGGACAATTTAGTACTTAGAATTTTGAAGCTCAATTTACAAAGATTCTTCTCAGATCATAACACTGTACAAGATTCTTGTCTAATATATCGAGCACGTGTGCATAGAGATATATGTCTCGTCGACAAGGATTTTAATATGTAATGCACCATAACAATAGTAATCCCAAAACCAAAATTGATGTCCGATCTCCTTTCTTCAAATTAAAGAGCCTGCTTTAATTCGTTAATTAAATGTTTTTTATCAGATAATCCCCCCCCCCCAAAATAAAGCACTTGCTCTCACATGTATCTTTTGACAAGGTAAATATCTCCTTCTAACTGTGATACTATTGTCAGACTATTTAATTGTTTCATTCATTTCTTAAGTTCACTACGTTGCTTCCCTTTTAATTCAGTGAATCAATCGGTAAAAAAAGACAAGAACATTAACTTTTTTTACTTATCCTCCAAATATACATTTTTTTGGTTGGAAAAAAAATATAAATTTTTTTCCAACTTGCCCCTAGAATTAATGTTGATAATACATACGTCAATCTTGATATATATATATATATATATATTGATTATCTTGAAGAAAAATACAGGCTGTGTATTTGGAAAAAAAGAAAAAGAAAAGAGACATAATTTTAATATTGTGCGTTGCGTGTGTGTATCTCCAAACAATGCATAGTAATCTAGGAAAGTGTGAAGGCCGCTTTCAAATATGAAACGGGTCCAAGCACCAAGACCATAACTATGCGAATATATAATTTGATTTAATAATGTTCACATAGTTACATCCATATCCATGAAACTGAAAAGCAAAAGGAGGAATAAAATTATTTTATGCTTATGGAGAGAACAAATTAAAGTGGTAAGAATATATAAAGATAGAGTGGAGCATGAGATGCTCAAAGTAGTGGCCTTTATTTATAATAAAACTATATGTATATATATATCATCATCATCATCAGACTGAGTCAACACAAATCCATTAGTTTCTTGTTTTAGTGACTAGGAATCAAGAAATAAAGGTAATGAATTAGCGTGTTTGTATCACTACGCTTTCAAGAAATATTGCAGTGTGACTCAGCAATGACTGACCAATCACATGATGATGACATGGCCTATAGTGTCCAAATCAACTACTTCCACTATACCCTAAAAAGGACCTCCATCATTCTTTTTCTAAATCACGCCACTAACTTAAAGTCTTGAACAAACACACACACAAACAAAACTAAAGAATAAAGCAAATTAATCAAGTTAATTTTGAAGAAGCTTGTAAATATATATATTGATCTCACCTGAACCTAGTTTGCTGATAGGATGAAATGAAAAATCTAGGTATTGGTTTAGATATAAATCATCTTATATATTATTAATGTGACTAAAAGAAGATGTCCATGCATAATGCACAAGCACAGTTTTTTGGCAAGTTAGGAGCATAGCATCTGTCAGATACAAAGGAAAGGTGAATGAGAAAAAGAAGATACCATATTGACTGCTGAACTGCTGATAATGGTAACAGTATAACTGATATTGTACAAAAAAGAAGGTATTTTATTTTTTGCGTGCTCTCTCTAGTGGGTATATATGTACCTTGTTAGGAAGCATTAGAGAAGGATTTATATATTTTTTTACTGTATCAAAAATAAGATACACAACATTTATTATATATTTATTACATTTCTTGTTAAGGGTAAAGTTACACTGTTCAACTGTTGTAGGCATTATATATATACAGCGGATGATTATTGTTTGCCTCTTGCTAATTCCCTTGTGGAGTCTCCTTAAGATTTTTGTGCTTCATTATATGGTCACTTCGGACATATACTTAATTAGTCTTCACGATAGATGATGAAACCTATTGGAGGCTATAACCACGCATATTTAATTGAAAGTAATAGGTGGATCTCATGATGGTTGCACTTAGAGCAGTGTTTTATTTACTGCAGAATGGTGGACTTTGAGCTAGCTAGGATCTTAATGTCCACCGCAAAATACAACTATGTTCTAGTAAGAAACTTGTTGGATATGAGCAGTCTATTCCAAAAGAGTAGTATTTATTATTTAGCCTCACATTGTCCCCACTATTATTAGTCGCTTACATTGATTATGTTTTAATCAAATTAATCATTGTAACCATCAAATTATGAGAAAAAGCTGTCTTAAGTCTAGCCACTTGGTAATTTATTATACCATAATTAGCTAGCATCATTGATTCTTCTGCTATATATGGTGATGGGAATCAACACCAAAAACACTAAGACCCGTTCTCCTGCTCTCTAGATCACCCTCTGCTTCTCTCTGGCTTCTATATTTTCTATCTGATATTTCTGATCCCTCATTAATTCAGCCAGAAATTGTTTTATTTCAGTTGATCATACCGCTACATCAAACTGTCTATGATGTGGCATAATCATTTTTAATTAAAGACAGTGTCTGGTAACGTGATTTAGATTATTTAAACTCCTTATTTGGCAAACAACTAAGGTTCAAGTGCCTCATGGGCTTACTTTTATTATTTTAATACATGAGCCATTGCATCAAAGACCTTCTTTCTGCACAACTTCCCGCCTTCATAGGTAACCACTTTAACTAAACCCTAGCTAAGGTGGCTTAATGGAGAATCACAAGTGAAAAAGCTTTCCGTTGATCTAATCATTACTTTGTTAGAGCGTGCTTGTGTTTCATTGATTGAGAAAACTTAGGAACTGCATAATTAATTCCAAGCAACTCATGAAAATATGGAGTTAATTAATATATCTACAGATAACTCCTCTTCTTTTCTCAAGGAATTCTGCAGATAAATCTATATTCTGCTTGGACTTGGGAAAATACGCATCAGATGCAAGTTGATAGGAGTTTGTCACCTAACCATAATCAAATTACCAAACAAGTGATAATGAGAGAAAATCATATATTACATAAGCCCATGATCATGCTTAAGTCAACTTCCCTTGGTTGATCAAGACACCTAGAATTTTAACATCGGAATACATATGAGCTAGTCTCTTCTTAGAGTCTGATTAATATAGGGACTAATAAACTCAAGTTCTTCCTCAACATATTCACACACAAACCCCACAAAGCAATCCAGCATCACTGAATAAGATTCAGTAAATGAGTACCTTCAGGACTCTATAAACCTTCACCGATGATGCTGCATCGATTACAGTTGAAAATTGAATCATAAGATCCAAGTAAGTTGATATCCTTAGAGAGAACCTCTGAGTAAACACTGCTCCTGAGGTCCAGATCCTACTGAAGAGATCCCGAAATAGGGTGGCATGAACATGTTTCCATTTGATGAATTGAAAATCATTGGCAGGGACTCGTACGGTAATTTTGAGTCATACTCCTGTTTAACCATGGTAGAGAAATTTGGATTCTTAGGCAGATCATTCACAGCCTTCACTGAGCGATCAGGAGAAGAAGGTCTGTGACTGCAGTCTGATGATGCAGGAGATGATGACTTGGTTTCAAGGTTGACAATTGTGATGTCATGGATGCTTGATCTCCTCTTGTCCTTGCCTCCAGTAAGCTGCCGGATGAAATACTTCTGAGCATGACTAGCAACCTGAGTGGGAGTCCTTGTGGTCACAAAATTACGAGATATGTTTCTCCAGTCCCCTTTACCATACTTCTTCAGGCCCAACAGAAATTGCCTGCAAAGTTTAAATGAGTCAGCATGAAATTTACACTAAAGTTGGCAAAGAACACAAACTGGACGATAGGTAATTATGTATAGTACTCCTGTGACAATTACGCAGTTATCTGAATAGTTTTATAATCGAAACTCTTGTTATGGTTATTACAATTTAAAAGTATTCCCGAACTTTCTCTGAGTGATCTAAAAGGTGTAACAACCTCCTACATTTGGCGGGTGCGTTTAGAAATTTACTATGATTGTGCTCCCACAAATGAATCCATGTAGGGTACTATCTCTTTTTAGTTTCTACTGGTTGACTTGACCGGTTTGAGTCAAGCTGCTAAAGTTCAAGACTCAAAGTTCAAGTTTCAATATCAGGGATGTGATGAACAATGATTTAACTAAGGATCAGCTTTGAAGCACCAACATCTTAAGAATTGAACTAAGGAGGTTGATGATGTGAATTTATTACCTGTGCTCCTCTTCAGTCCATGGCACTCCTTTTTTCCTTTCCTGCTCAGATGGTCGAGTGGAAGAACCCCTTTTCTCACCAACAGTATAGAATGGCTTGAGATCCTCAAAGCCTTGGTTATTGGCCCATTCCAAAGTGAAAGAACTGCTATCATCATACTCAGTGACTGGGATCAACCCTGCCTCTATGACACTAACATCTTCTTCAAGTTGTTTGTACTGCCTAATCACATCTCCCACTGTCTTGCCTGGAACCTTAGCTGCAACTTTCAACCAACGATCTGGAGTATCTTTGTCGTACAAGGCCAAAGCGTCCTCAAACCGCTTATTCTCTTCTGGGGTCCATTTCGTTCCTTTGCTCTCTTGAAACAACCAATTCGAGTTTTCAAGGTAAGAGGCTGGAGAAAAAACTTCAATTCCCCTATTCATTGTTGTGGCTAGACTAATAGTCGCACATGGCAAGCGTACAAGAAGTCAATACAGGAAGTCCCTCCCTCTTTGAAGTTTTCTTCAAAGAGAGAGACGACACAGAGAGGAAATGCAAAGAAGTGGAGCTTGCAATGGCCAAAGAAGCATTATATCAAATAACATGAATACAGAATCTTCGGCCCTTTTCACGTACACCGACAACCTGAAGAATCTTGGAAAGGGTTTTTCTTTCCGAAACCCAAGGAAAATTCCGGATTGGACAGTTTAGGGGGGGGAGCATAACCCTAATAAACCTGCTCAGATCTAAAATACAAAGAAATCAACACACAAAGCATCAAGGAGAGACAAAACCCAGGTTAAATTTTGACAACAGACGCAGAATGAGCAGGGAATTAATTGCAAGTGACACCCAGTTGATAAAAGGCCGTGAAATGAAAGAAAGAAAAAGCAGAGTGCGAGGAGGAGAGAAAATCTCTCAAAAGAAAGGAATAAACTTTGAAAGAGGAACTGAAAAATGAAATATGAGTACGGAGGAGAAGGGGCAGAGGAGGTAGTACAGATATAGTTATAGGGTGAGAGGGTGCACAGGAAGGGGGTGTCAGGTGTTTGTAGAGCTAGAGAGAGAGGGGCCGATCTGTGTATGGAACAGGGAAGAGAGGAGAGAGGGGAGAGAGAGGGAGGTCAAAGGAGCAGAGTTGTGATTGGCGGACAGAGAGTGCTTGTGGGCGCTGAGAATAAAGAGAGAAAGAGAGAGAGAGAGAGAGGAGGAGCGAGAGTGACATGTTTCGGGTGGGTATTGGGTAGAGACAGAGAAAGTGTAGACTTTTGGAGGGCCAAATTGGTAATGCAAGGCAACAATGACAGGACTCAGGAGGGGCCTTCTTTTTCAAAACAGGAGAAATATAATAATTTAATGTGTTGTTCATTGGGAAGACTAATAAGCTTTGTCCTTTGTGCTCATTACTATGGTTCCTGTTGGAATTCGTCCATTCCCCTGTTTCATTTCCAGATTCCAACTATTGCTATCACTTTGCATGGGGTCAAGTCTTTTTCATCATCATCTATCTTCGTATCATATGTTTCGAAAAGTTACCTGCTCTGTTCCAATTCCAAACGAATGTATGGTGATTTTTAACCATCTCACCAAAATTTAGTTATTTCATTAAAATAATCTTTAAAATGTGTCAATAATTTATTTTTTGGTTAACAAAATGTGTCAATAATTTAATAATACTAGACACTTTCTTCAAGTCCTTTTGAAGTGCGAGGTTACAAATTTGACCCCAACTCCTATAAATTAACATGATTTGAGAATGCAAGTTTCTTATAAAGCATGGCCTAGTCCTATATAAAGAGTAAGAGCAAGCGCCCCTTAATTATTCTTATATGTATGAAATTTAACAGGTATTCACTCATTTTTTGTACCACAAAGGGAGAGGTATTGGCCAGAGGAATAAGGGCGTATTTGAATTGGTGATGGCAAAACTGACTTTTATTCTAGCTGATTTTTGTAACTGAAGTTAGAGTAAAAGTCAATTAGTGTAATGCAATTTATTTTTAGATATGTGCTTATAAAAAGTCAGTTGGAAAAGTTAAAAATTATTTAAATGATTAATAGAAAAGTGAGTTTAATTGTAAAATAACTGAAAATGACATGGCTTTTATTGAATAGTAGTGCTTCATATTTTATATTTTTAATGTGGTAATAGTTAAAAAAATTACCTAAAATTATTATGATAAAATAAAAATAGTTTATTTGTGAAATTATAAAATAAAAAATTTGTTACTGAGAAAAATTTGAAAACACACTGTAGATGATTAATTAAATATATATAATAGACAAACATGAATATAAATTAAAAGTCATTCATCTCTAATTAAAGTAAATGCAATCACATAAGTAATTAGATCGTAAGTTTTGCACAATTTGGTCTCTAATTGAGTCACGAACATGATTCATTTGTGTGGTAGATGTTAAACTTGACGAGGATGCCTCACCAGCTATATAATTATTGTCTTCATCTATTACACTTCCATGTTCAGCTTGTACAAAGTGGTCATTAGTTGAAAAATTTTGCCTGATAAAATTATAGAAAGCCATTGTTGCACAAATTATGTAGACTTGTGTTTGAAACTTGAATTTGGACATATCTCTTAAGATTGCAAATCTATTCTTTCAAACCCCAAAAGTTCTTTTAATAGTGCATCTCAAACTTGAATGATAATAATTGAAAACCTCATTTTCATTTCTAAATCCTAGGTGACAATTGAAGTCTGGAAAGTGATAGAGCTCACGTTTGTGGGGGGCTAAGATATCCCGCTTGTGATGGATAATCAACATCAACTAAATAATATTTGCTTAGAAAATCATGACTCAATTATATTGAGGTGAAAATAATGCAATTGAAGCTGAATTTAAAAATAATTGACTTGAAATTTAAAGATATATACCTTTAGGTGGATGAGGGAAATTCATAGATGGAGTTGATATCAGAATGAAAGACACGAGCATCATGTGCATTACCTTCCTAGCCTGCCAACACGAATGTGAAGCACATATCCCAATCACATACGGCTATGACATTTTGACTGGGAAATCCCTTCCTCCCAATATATTTGTCTTTTCTGGCTTGACTAGCCTTACAATTTACGTGGGTGCCTTTAATTACTATAATGGAATCCCTAAAAAGTGGGAAGTATTGTGCATCATTTGCTATTTTTGGGTGACAATAAGAAAATACAGAATCAATTAGCTTGATATTTTCTTGAGATAAATTGAGGCAAGCATCCAATACTTTATGAAAATACTGACTGACAGTTTCTCCTAAACACTAAAACATTTCTTGAATCATCCTATTACACTAGCCATGCGCAATTATATTCAAGAACATGGCAACAGATTCATGGACACCTATGTATTTAGAATTTTGTAACCCAAGTTCAACTAATTTAGAGCATAACTGATGGGATGTCTCTATTTCCATTCGAAACATAGTTTGAGACCATCCTTCATGCCTATGCAAAAGTTCTTGTACCCATAAATAACCTGTTTGTCCACTAGTTCTGCATGGCTATTTGCACAGAAAAGGCGTCACATACTGACCAATTAACACACTTAGCTCTGATGATTGTGTTGTGTGTTCACGTAAAGCGAGAAGTAATTGAGACTGTTCATCTCCCCCATCATCACCCTAACCCTCGCCCCAACCCTCTGTTGAATTAGACATAGATTATGTAACCTGTGAGTAGTTAAATACTAAATGTGAGTAATATTTTCACAAAAAAGAAAAGATAATACACAAATAGTCATTAAACTTTAACATAATAATTAAATATAATCATTAAACATATCGTCGTAACACATAGTAACCAAATATATTAAAGTAGAAAAACATGAGTCATAATAAGTCACTCGACACAACTGGGTGCAGCATATGGCGGTGGGTTTTTAGTATTGTACTTCAACCAAGCTATTAATATCTCCTGATTTACTCTCAGGCTTGCATATATGTCCCTGAAAGTCTTGTTTGCTAGAAGATTACAATCGATGACATAAAGATGAGTGTCACTAGTAATTTCCTCCATACTCAGCAGATCAGTGGTAAGCTCAGTAGTGATATCACTATTGGACATTTTGTTTACTACCTTTGCTATATCCTTTGAAGCAGTAGCAATCAAACTTACTGCATCTGCTATTCTTTTTATCGATGGCATTTTTTGCTTCTTGTACTTATCAAACCCTTGACCTCTCTTCCTCTTCCCTTGACTTCCTAAACTACTAGGTATAGTGGGTACAGTGTTTGATGTGTTTGTAGTTAAATCGATGCAGTCCAAATTGTCCGAAACTCCTGCACGGCATCCAGTGTCAACACCTAAAAGCTTGTCTTCACTATCCCCTAAACCTTCTTCTCAATCTATTGTTAGTCGGTACTCATTTGGCTAATCAACCCTTTGTGGCTAAGGCTGGGTCTAAGATGGTGCCCATATATCCTCTTCTGATATCATAATGTCCTTGAATATAGTTTCTAATTTAGTTCAAAACTTTAACCCATGGTGCCTAAACTTTTCATATGTTGGATTTTCCTGCAAAGTCAAAAATAAACCAAAGTTAAATCACTTCCAAGAGTATGATACTGCTTATAAATTAACACAAGCTAGTTCATACCTGTTTTTTCCTCTCTCGCCACTCATCATATGCCACCACTGTGTTCCTGTTAGGGTCCCATCCTATACCGATCTCCTTAGTAATTAGTGACTCAAATGCCTTCTACTTTTTTCTCAAGTTATCTAAACTATTTTTCAACTGTTTTTTTTTCATATCCTCTCCCTATCTTTTTATTGAATGCTTTGTGAATGTTGTCTCAACCTTGCTTTGTAAACAAAGATCCTTGATGATATTTGCTATCAATTTGGTCAACACATACTTTGAGAAAAACACCTATAGTGTTCACATCCCGATGTGTTTTGCCTTTATCATTACTCATAGTTCTTGTTGAAATTACATAACCCACAATTAGTCTGGAATCAAGAAGTATAAGCCCACAATATATGTTAATCAAGAAGTGGATATCATCAAAGTTCCTAAAAGCAATTTACTTTCAAATTGCAATGATGCATTGATATGGTTGTTGCATATTCACATTGAATATTGAAATTGTTAAACATAGACTAGTTTAAGCACAAAAAATTGTCTAGTTTGTACAATTTTTTTTTATTTTAAAAAACACTATGCTTACACCTTTGGTCTTTTTATTTAATATAATATTATACAAAATTTAAAAACAAAATAAAGCCATTGATCGGTTTATAAATGTTAAATATAAGTGCTGCTAGATATAAGCATGAAAATATGATTAGTACTAGAGGTGGAAATAGGCCAGGCAGCCTGTCAGGGGCCTGTGGCCTGGCCTGTAAATGGCTTGGCCTATTTAGATATCAGACCAGGCTCAGACCTGTTTGCTTTATCAGGCCACGCTCAGGCCTGATAGTAAGCCTGTTAGGCTTGTTAGGCGGCCTGGGCCTGTTATCTTTTTTTTAATGTTAAAATCATAAATTGATAGGAGGGACTTTACTATTCTGATTGGTTAATTGAGAAAATTCCATCCACATAAACATGTTATCTAAAGCCTATTGCATGCGTCATTTCATTTCCATTCTCTTTTTTTTTTACCAGCAAAGGAATCACATTAACTAAAACGAGCCAGGAGAAATAGTTCACTACAAAAGATAAAGGGAAAAGAAACCAAATGACAAGCTAACAGGTCAAAAGCAAATAAACCGATCCCTTCCCTGTCATCCTTTTCAATGTGCTGGTCAAAACTAAATTCATTAGCAACAGTGGCTTCACGAAAAATGATATTAGCTAGAGGAGGTGGAGATACCAAGATCAGACCGTTAGGTCCCAACTCCTTTGAAGCTATAGCAGCCAGGAAATCGACAGCACCATTTCCCTCACGAGGAATGAGAGAAAAGCAAATAGAACTTTGATCATCCACCATTGCAAACAACTCAGCAAGCAAGCCTTGGAGTAGCCACGGACAAAGACGCAAAGATTTTTGAGTAATAGTAGAGAAAAGATCCTTATAATCCATTTCAATAATCACCAGGAAGTGTTGCCATTGAGTTGCTAGAGAGACAGCCTTTAGAGCAGCTAAGAGTTCTGCTTGGAATGCCGATTGAGCACTTACTTTCTCAGC